AGATTACTTCCACCCCTTTCCAGCTAGCCCAGGGAAGGGCAGTCTCTTAGGGGCTTGCCTAGGTGTGTCCTTGATGGACAGAACTGGGAGTAGAATCGTTGTGAATCATACCCTTATCAGTTGTGCCCTATCATGGTCGGAAGGCCCTGAACCAATCTTGTAAGCTCTTCTAACATAATGTCCTTGTCCCAATCATGGTCTGTCCCTGCTTCTGTAGTCCCACCCTTAACTTTGATGTATTGATCTTCCACGGATCATGAATGGGTGATGGTTTCCTTTGTTCTATGCCTTATTTAATGAAGTTATTTCTTAATAAATGGTTGTTGAAGTTATAGGACATGAGCTTGTAGTAGGACATGCCGTCCATCCCCACCATCAAAGACACAGGGAAGGTGGACATTCCTTAACTTCCAATGAGTGTTGTTGTACAGTGTCATTAGGTCGACTCCAACCCAGCCCGACCGCGCATGCGCACAATAGAAGAAAGCACTACCCAGTCCTGAGCCATTCTCCCAGTCATTGCTTTGAGCCCATGGTTGCAGCCACTGAGTTGATCCATCTTGTTGAGGGTCATCCTCTTTTTCATTTTATCAAGCATGAAGAACTTCTCCAGGGACTGGTCTCTACTGAAAACATTTCCAAAGTACACGAGACAAAGGCTCACCATCCTTGCTTCTAAGGACCATTCTGGCTGTACTTCTTCCAAGAAAGAATTTTCTGTTCTTGTGGCAGTACCAGGTAATTTCAATATTCTTCCCCAGCACCATAATTGAAGTGCGTCAATTCTGCCCCGGTTTTCTGTATTCATTGTCCAGCTTCACATACACATGAAGTGACACATGAAAACACTGTGGTTTGGGTCAGATGTACTTTAAACCTCCAGGTGATACTGCTCTTGAACACTGTCAAGGGGTCTTCTGCAACAGCCTTGTGGCGAGCCCAGTGCTTAGCCCACAGTGCCACCAACGCTCTTTATTTTACCCACAAAATCCTTCCATCTTGCAACTTGAAACTTAATTTTTTTCTTCAGATCTTTCAGCTGGAGAAACACCGAACCTGCTCTTTCCTTATGGTTTTCTATCTCCAGGTTTACACGTTTCATTATAATACATGATTCTGTGTTTTCTAGCTGCCCTTTGACATTTTCTGTTCCGGTCTTTTACTTCAAATTGCTTCCAGGTTTTAGCTACACTGTATTAGTCTGGGTTAACTAGCGAAACAAATCCAATGACACTCATATATGTGTAAGAGAGAGCTTTATATCAAAGAGTAATTGTACACTAAGGAAAACATCCCAGCCCAGTCCAGATCAAGTCCATAAGTCTGTTATTAGCCCATATGTCCAATACTAGTCCATACATTCCTCTTTAGACTCATACAGCACGTACAATGATGCCGAGTGCAGGAAGATCATGGGCCAGGGGTGGATCCAGTGGTGGTGGAAGCATCTCAGCCCTGGTGCGGGTCTCCACGTGGCTCCTCCAGCTCCAGGGCTCTGGCTCCATATGCATGGCTCCATGTGGTTTGTCAACAGGAATATGAAGCAGAGAGAGAGTGTGTCCCGCCTCAAGGAGGAAGGCAGGAGTTCCCAGAATCCTCTGGAGAAGGGCATCAATCAAGGGCCCACACAGAGGCATCACTGGCTATGACCTGGTTGATAGGCTAGACTCCACCCCTTCACTCGAGTTCATAGGTTATCTAACTGTCACATACACTATGTTCAGGAGCAAGTTTCAGAGACTCTTCTACATCCACTGTGGTCTTTTCTTTCTTTCCTGTCTTTTAAAAGACCTTCTGTTTTCTTCATGTAGGATGTTCTTAATGTCATCAAACAACTCCTCCAGACTTGGTCATTAGTGCTCACGATGTCAAAGCTGGTTTGGGCATGGCCTCAGATTCAGGTGGGATATACCCAATTGACTTGATGGCAGTGGGTTTGGGTTTTTGGTTCTACTCAAAATTGCATTTTGGCTCCTGTAGATGGCTTTAATTTTCTTCAGCTTCAACCTGATCTTGAATATGAACAAATGGTGGCCTGTTCCAGTCAGGCCCTGGTCTTGTTGTGCTGTTTCTCTATTGCCTCTTTCCAAAGATGTGGTCAATTTGATTCTAAAATTTGGGGTCTACATGTAGTCACCCAGTTATGCTGTTGAGAAAAAGTATTTGTAATGAGTAAGCTGTTTGTCTTGCAAAATTCTATCATGCAACCTTCAGCTTTGTTTCTATCACTCAGGCCTTCTTTCCAACCACAGTTCCTTCCTCTTTGTTTCCAACGTTTGCATTCCCATCACCAGCATTATCAAGGTAGCTTTATGGCATATTTAATCAATTTCAGACTGAAGACGTTGGTAGAATTCTTTAAATTCCTTATCCTTAACTTTAGTGACTAGTGTGAAAATGTGAATAATAGTTGCATCAACTCGTCTTCTTTATAGGCCTTGTGGTAGTTGCATAATCTGTTGTCACCTTGAGACTTAAGAGTGATCAGTGACTGGTCCTGGTATTGATTGCCTTGTCACTTGTACAGTGCAACCGTGGAGAGTCACTCACATCGAAACACGTGGTTCCTGCGGACAGGGTCTGTATAGTGATCAGATTTTCTGTGCGATGGCTCCATACATATTAAAAAAAAAGAGTGAAGGGGTGGAATTTAGCCTGTCAATCAGGTTGCAGCTTGAGGACCTCATTTGGAGACACTAAGGAGATACATAGCTTTCTGGAAGTGGGACACTCTCTCACTCCCTGTGAGACATTCCTGTTGAGAAGACACATGGAGGTACACTAGAGCCCTGGAGCTGAATTTAGGAGCCACATGGAGACTCCTGCCAGTGCTGAGATGCTTCCATCGCCACTGGACCCACAAGACTTTCCTCCCACTGGCCCGTGATCTTCCTGCATTCGGCGTCATTGCATGTGTTGCGTGAGTTTGAAAAAGAAATTTATAGATTGGTATCGGACATATGGGCTAATATCAGACTTATGGGCTTGGACTGGACTGGGCTGGGATGTTTTCCTTAATGTACAATTACTCTTTGATATAAAGCTCTCTCTTACATAAATATGAGTGTCTATGAATTTGTTTCTCTAGTCTACCTGGACTAACACAGGCCTATAGGTATTATCCCATCACAGACAACATTGCACTTCAAGATAGACCTTGAAATGTTCTTTTTGATGATGAATGCAACACCATTCCTCTTGAATCTGTCAGTCTAAGCCTGGTAGTCAGATGATGGGTTGATTCAAAATGGTCAATCCCCAGTCCACGTCAGCTCACTAATGCCTAGGATATCAATCCTTGTATGTTCCATTTCAGCTTTGACCACTTTCCTAGATTCATACTTTGTACAGTCTACGTTCTGCCTATTCATGTTTGCAGCTGTTTCTTTTCATTTTGAGCCATGCTCCATCAACAAATAAAAGTCGTCAAAGCTTTTACTCTGTCCACAGCATGAAACTCACCACTACTTGGAGAAGGCAACAATCCCTAATTACATTTTGAGTGCCTTCGTTTGGAGGGACTCATTTTCTGGTGCTATATCAGACAATGCTCAGAGAGTTTTCAGTGGCTCATCTCTCAGAACTTAAAGGAAATGGCGTGGGAGCCATGTCTGACCTCCTCTGACTACCCCGTGGAAAGAGAATTAAATTGTACGCTAGCCCAAGGTGTACTACCACAAGGCAGAGGTCAAACATGCCTTCACCTTCCACTCCTCTTTATCCTAGTCTGACATCAACTGTCCCTCCCGGAGCACTCTACTTCTCAGCTAGTTTAGAGAATCGATTGCAATGGCAACAAAGAATTCACAGACAATACTAAGGTTTATGGGGGTTTACTAGGTTAGTTAACAGGTTACTACAAGTCAGGATCAGAAAATATTTAGGACACAGTTCTTTCTCCTTTAGTGCCTCTTCTCAGCCATGCCAGCAAGCACAGTTTTCAGCCTCTCAGCCATGGGGACCCTTTGCCTCTGCCCTGCTCAGGCAAGTGTTACAAAATTCATTTAGGGCTAATAAGCTCCATGGGGCATATAACTTTACTCACTCAGTGGGCTCGGCAGCCTCCTGGTCTAACACTGCACCTTCCTTTTGTCTCATGGTCTCAGCTGGGCTCCTCTCCTCTACCTCATTGTCTCAGTGCTGCTGTGTTCACAACTTCAGGTCCACAACTTCCACTGGTGGCTCTTCTTTCTGGAGGGTTGCAGGATCCCTCTTCCTGCTTCTGAAATAGCTCTTTGTACCCAGTAGAATAGGAAATCAGACCAATCCCCAAGTAAGAATCTTCTACTGCTTATTTGCATGCTCCCACCCAGTCACTGGGTGAGCGTTAGATAGAAGAGTCACACCAAGTAATTTCACTTCACTGCAGACATGGATTGCCTATTCCCTTTTCCTAGTCTGTCTTAGTCTGGAAGTTCCGATGAAACTCCACCAAGGATGTCCATGGTATTTAAAATGTCAGTGGCTTAGCTTCCAGCATCACAGCAACATTAAAGCCACCAACTGAATCAAAGCCAAAGTCACTGCCATCGAGTCTTTGCTGACTGACAGTGACCCTCCCTGTAGGGCAGGGTGGAACTTTCCCTGTGAATGTCTGAGATGGTAACTGCTTACGGGAATAGAAAGCCCTGTCTTTCTCCCAAGGAGCAGCGGGTGGTTTGAACTGCCAGCCTTTCAGATCGCAGCCTGATGCATCACCACTATACCACCAGGGCTCCTCATGTAAGCCACCCCACGCGAACAAACTGACAGCCAAGTACTGATTGCAAAGAATCAGAGTATGAGACATGCTTCGGGCTTTCAAAACATTCATGGACAAATTTCATTACCTTGTAATTCTGTTTTTTCCACGAACTTTTTGACAGATCCTTTGAATTCTTTTCCCCTCACTTGTGAAATTTAATATCTTTTTCCAAAAATCGTTTTTACTTAAAATTTTTCCTTTCCTTTCAGTCAAATTTACAAAAAGTGTTCCCCCTCCAAAATGAAGAGATAATTCTTTTAATTGGTTGATACTAAGCCAAACGACTGATTTAACATTCAAACATCAGTTCTAATTAACAAGAAAGGCAGCAGAGGTCCCTGCTACCAGGCTCCCATGAAGAAAGGAACTTCAGAAGTAGCCAGATATTAGCTTCTTCAGGTCCTGAAGAAAAGTGAGCTAGTTCTTTGAACATTGCAATTTATGTACCAATTGCTAAAGCCAAGGACGAAGAACTTGGAGAATACCACCACGTTCTTCTGTCTGCAACTGAGCAAACATACAACCAAGATCCACTAATGGGGTGGGCGTGGGGCTGGGGTTCCCCCGCGGCTGGACCGCTTTATCCTCACCGACAAGGCCTGCCTGGGCGGTGGTGGCCGTCAAGTGAGTGGCCAAGGCGTCGGTGGAAAACCTCCGGACCCAGATGGAGATCCTGCAGGGCACCCGCACCCCCACCTCGTGCAGCTGAAAGGCTTCCAGTGGGCAAGGACAATCTGTGCTGGCCGCGACCCCTCGCTTCATCCGGGCCTGCGGAGGCAGCTTGAGTCTCTCACCCGCCCCTGGAGCCTCCGAGCACTCTGCCTAGCTCCTTGGAGAAGCCCCTGGCACGGGCAGCCTCCGGCTTCGCCGGGCACACGGCCGCGTGGGCGAGCGGCACGTCCTCCGGGGCTGCCCGCTCTGGGTGGCCCGCGTGGACTCTGGTCCGTGGGGGTCGTGCTCCACGAAGCTCTCTTCGGCAGCCCCCCTCGCCTCGAGGCCCTTCCCCGAGCTGGAGGGGCAGAGCCGGAGGACCCCGGTTCTCGAGCTCCCCCTGTGCCCCCGCTCCCCGGAACGGGACCCCGGCCGCCGTGTCTCCTTCCAGGGCTTCTTCGGCCACCCCTGGGGGGCCCCGCGGGGAGAGCCTGGCACGAGCGACCGGCCTGGTGGGGCAGGCCGGGAAGGACCGGGAAGGCGACGTGGCGGCCCTGCACCAGGAGGTGGCTGTCCAGCGGAAGGAGACACGTAAGGCAAGGATGGGCAGTACGTGTCCCGGGCTGAGGCGCTCCAAGCCATCGTGTCCTCCTCCACTCAGGCCCTGCGGAGGCAGGAACTGGCACCCGAGACCTGCTCAGAGGGATGGCCCCGGACAAGCTGCGCCTCTTGGCTGCCCTGGAGGTGGGTGGCTTCGGCTGCCCTGGACCTGGGCCAGCACGGCCTCGGGGTGCCACTGGGCTGGGCGTGGGAGCTGCTTCACACTGAGGTTCAGGACCCCGTGGCTTGAGCGGAATACCTGAAGGTGCAGGTCAAGATGAGGGCGTCCCGCTGGGCAGCAGAGACCCTGGACAAAGCAGGGCTCTCAGTCAGCTCTTGCCGCCTGCAATGGCATCCGTCAGGAATGGAGGGTCTCACACCACCCTCACCCCAGCTGGCCGGAATCAGTGGCCTGCTGGAGCATCCTGGGGAGGGAGCTTGCTGGGTGGGCAGTTCTAGAGGGTCCCCAGTCTTCCTACCCCACAGCTTGTCAGCTAGGAGCCCTGGGTCTTGGCCCTGAGGGTGAGGGCCTAGGACTCCCGGGAGAGCTTATTCGTGTGACCTTTACCTTGGAAGTTGAAGACTTGCTAGGCTCTGAGCCTGCCTGGCTGAACCCCCACCCCAGGCCAGGGACAGCATTTTTGTTTTAAGAAGGCAGGGGCCCTTCCCTGCTAGCAGCCAGCAGCCCGCATTCCCCTGTCCCACCCCTGCCAGGATTCCTGGGAGCTCTTATTCTAACTCTCTTCCCTCCTTAAACTGGAATGGGGCACTCAGGGACCACCCACCCCATGGTGTCTCCTCACCCCCAGAGGACTCCCCAGCCTTCCTGGGAGCTGACCCCTACCCACCACCTCGGAATTTTGAAACAATCCTTTAAGCATAACGAGAATGTTGTATGTATAGGGGTGGGCAGATTTGAGAAACCCAGCCCTGGTACCCGCCCTGGTCCAGAGAGCACCAGGGGAGGGGTTCTCATTCTCAACCCTCGGGCTTCCTGCTGGCCACAAAGCTGGCCCTGTGCTGGACTCGGGGCCTGCAAGGGACTATCATGGGAGCTGCCTGACCCACCTGTTTACCCACAGGGGAATCCGCATGGTGTGGGAGATGGGGGTCTAGGTCCGATTCTGCTCCCCTCTCTGGGCTTTGGGCCCCAGCCTCTCCAGGGGACGGTGAGTGACCTGGAGCAGAATGTACACAACTGGGGCTGCCGCCCCAAGTTCAGGGCCTGGGTGGCTTTTAACCCGTGTGCCCTCTGTTCCCCTTGAGGGAGACTGGGTGTGAAAACTGTAATTCGTGGTTTCTCTATGAAATTATGTTCTGTAAATAAAAAGATCCACTGATAATTACTGGCAATTGGAATGCAAAAGTTGGAAGGAAAAAAAAGAGGAAGGGAAGAGTTGGAAACATGGCCTTGGTGACAGAAACAAAACGAGCCTGCAGGATTGGGTTTTTCAAGATCAACGACTAGGCACTCTTCTGGTTCTGAGAAAGTATTAAAGAGTCGTTCTGTCTTCTGGCCTCTCCCATGCTGTTCTCCAGTGCAGGCAAGTAGGGACCCTTGAAAGTGAAAAAACAGGAAGTAGCTTGTACTTAGAGGAAGGCACGGTTTCACTTCCTGGGTGAATGA